ATTTCATTTCACTTCACTTTTTCTCTTTCTTTTATATATATATATATATATATATATATACATACACACACTCACACTCACACACGTGTGTGTGTGTGTGTGTGTATATATATATATACATGTAAGATTTGCAAGATTACATAATTCCTACCTCATTAGTACATATAGTATCATCTAGTTAACCACTTAAACTAACATTAAAACCACTATGGAATAAATTGTAAAGAAAAATTAAAATGTTATATGAAATTAAAATATCAAAAAAAAAAAATTATCTTTTAGCATTTTTCTTTAAAAAAAAAAAAAATCTTTTTTTTTAATATATTTTTAAAGTGTTGTATATATCTACTAATTAACACTTAAAATGTTTTATATTATGTGTAAAAATAATATATATTAATTTTCTAGCCACATTTCATCTAACATTATTTTTTAATACATCATAAAATATATTAATTTTATTATAAAAAATCAAAATTAAAATTGTTAAAACTCGAATTTTGTGTTAAATTAATACTTATATATAGACCCATATAAAATGGGTGTGGCACTAAAAATTAACTTATATTATAAAAATGAGGGTAAAAAGAAGAAAGTAAATTAAAGGGTTTTTTGTCTCTTTGTGTTCATTGTCTTTACTTTATCTTTTTCGTCATGCATGGGAAAATGAATAAATAAATAATAAAGTTAAATAAAAAGAATAAGTGATTCAAAAAAATTAAAATAAATAATAAATAAATTTTTTAACCGAATAATTCTTAACTTTTACACCTTCCCTATTAAAGTTTGAATTTGAAACAAGTTGTGGTGGGTTTTTTAATCGAACGTATGAACTTATACGTAGGTTTTTGTGAATAAGACTATCGAGTTTAATTGAGACTGTTTAATGTGATTTGGTACGGTTAAAAATATTTTGAGTTTTAATGCATAAAATTAAAGTGTGAGATTTATTTTATGTGCAAAGACTAAAAACGTAATTTCTGATTTTATGACGAATAAAATTAAAATTAATAAAAATTTAAGGATATAAATAGACAGTTATGGTCACAAATCACACGTATATTTTTTTTTCTATTATGTTATTTCGTCACTAGAAATATAAAGTGTGAGAGAACTCTAAATAACTGCGTGTTGATTTAGAAAATCTACCGCAGACTGAACAGATTACTACCGTTATGAATTCAGGTACGCTTTCGTTTTTAGATCCAATCTTTTTTTATTCAATAACGAGCATGTTTTAGATTCAGATCTGATTTATTTTGAAATTCTTATAAATTGTATATTTTTTTTAATCATCATTATAATATTATAATAATATTTCGAATTGTGTTATTATATAATTGTTACTTAGTTTTTAAAAGGCATGAATTTATTTTAAAAATATTTTTTTTATAAAAAAAAAATAGAAAATGACTTATGATTTGTGTCACTAATGCTTTAAAGTTTATAATAAATACATGTATATAATTAAGATAGTAGTTGACTTTGTTTCTATGAGCATCAAAATGCCTTGCTAGACATGAATAATTTCTCATGAAAATTCAAAATTTTCCATTAAAAAATATGAGAATTCAAAAGTAGATGATCTCAATTTGATCTTCTAAATTTAGAAGAACAATAAAAAAGATAGTGGTAAGAAAAAAAAAATTTAAAAGGGTGGCATCATAATCTAAATAAATTTCATGTTTTGACCAAATTGACAACAATAATCTTTGTTTTTTTTTTTTTTGTTATTATCAAATCACCATTATTATATGTTATTATCACCAATAATGGAGGAAACCCCAATATATACTAGTTTTCATAATGAAAATATTTTATAAAATTAATAATGATAAATTAAAGATATGACTTTTTAAAAAATAATTATTATGTCTATTAATATAAGCATTTGGTGAACAAGGTGAAGTTTGTCATAATGGTGTTGATTTTAGTCTATAGAACATAAATAATTATGATCTTTTCATGCATTAAAGTGGGTAAGTGAAGGGAATGTTGGTTCTTCCTTCAGATAAAAAATAAAAAATAAAAGTTTAAACTAACGATGCATTTCATAAAATAATTTTTGAGGTCTGAAGTTAGGACTGATAGTTTTCAGTAGTATTTTTGTAATTGTTTCTTTTTAGTACGGTAAATATGAAACTGTTATAGGAGATTGTGAGGAGAATATAATAATCGTTTAAGATAGAGTTCAGTAAGTAATTACTATAGATAACTCTAAGTAAGAAAATTCAACATCTCATAAATATCATTTTTCAAGTTTAATATGAGTGAGCTTTTTATTGATGATAAGAGTAAGGCCGTTGTAGACACATTTGTACAAAGTGATTGAAGGAAATAATGTTATTAAAATCTCTAGAGTATTATCGTTAGTAATTTGAAAGATCAATAAATTCGAATTTGTTAAACTGCTACAAAATATAACATGAGAATGTTAATATTAGTTCAAGTTGTATGTAGAGTTTTTTTCGTACCACTTCAGATATTAGCATATAACAATTTTAACTATTTATTAAAGGCAATGCTAGAGAGGATATTAAAATCATCCCAATCCTTACTAAAAACCTGATGGGCCGAGGACATAATGCCTACAAATAACTTATTGTCATGGTCAATTTAAATTTGTTTGATAACTAAAATAAAGATGTAAGTAGTTTTATTTCTAAAAGAGCAACACAAATGGACATTTTGACTAAACCAACTTTGATCATCAATAATGGAGAACTCTGTTTGATGGTGTTAAGTGATAATGAATTATTAAATATTATAAATACTATTATAATGTTAGAGAACTTATATATCACTCATAAGAAAATCTCAACATATAGTAAAAAGTATTAACATTAGCATAGTGTTGGAGTTGTAGAAGCTTGTTAGGATCAAATGATCTTAGAAGATCAACCAAGTGAAAAAATAATTTTTGTTTGGGCTAGTTGGCTCCTTAATGGTATTCGATCGTACAACTAGTAAATTTATTTTTTAAAAAAAGATGAGTAAAGTTGTCCAAGTAGTTTCACTCGTATATATATACATTGATTTTTTTTAGGAACAAAAATATTGTTATTTTATAACATTTAATATACTAAATTATAGTTTAAATCTGATAGAAAAAATATTTGAATTTTCATATTCTTCTACAATACCAAACTAAGTATAGTAAATTGGTCGATATTTTCTTACATGCTATTATCCGCTTTAAATATGAGAAAAAAAAATAATGGATAATTCGTACGCACACAATTAACCTATATTTACATAAATATTACGTGTCAGTTCTACTTATTGATATTAATGACTTTTTATTTATTTTTTATTAAAATATGTTTAGTGATAAATTCGCATTCATCCCCAAAACAAAAAGCTAATTATATAAGTCTATTTTGTGCGGTTCCATTAGCTACAATAAGTGCTTATTTATTTATTTATTTATTATTATTATTATCATTTCATTATAATAAAACAAGAAGTTTCTTAAATTACTTTGGACAAATTGAATCTTGTTGACATAAAAGCAAGAACCGGTAGGTAATTGTTTTGGATCATTGATCACATAATCATTCCCCTTTTAACCCACATCTTGTATGGTTGTTCTTCATGACATATATAAATATGGTCCCCCTAATTATTAATTATTACAAAAATACCTTTTTTTTTATAAAATTGAAAAGGAATGGAGAAAATGATTAGAAATCAATGCCAATAATCACTTCACACATCAACATTGTAAAAAAAAAAAAAAGGAAGAAATCATGGGATTCTAAAAACAATGTTGAGGTGGTGTGGTGCAAGAATCACAAACTTGAGAAGAACATATAAATATATATATATATATATGTGTGTGTGTGTGTGTATAGGACTATGTAAAATCAAATGTACCCTTGAAAAATCAAGCATTATTGTGAACCACACTAGTCCAATCATGACTCTCTCTAACTATTTCTTCTTCTTCTTTTTCTTTTTTTTTTTCTTTCAAAATTTCAATAATTAATGTAATGGGAATTTCAGAATAAGAGGAAATGAAATGAAATGAAATAGTAGTAAGTATTGAGGAGTTGGAAAGCATGATGGGATTGAAATGGAGAAAATGGGAGAAGAAATGAAGGTGTCACAACTTTTGGGCAATAAAATGATTGTTGAATGAAAAAGGGTAAGAGTTTTTTGATTGGGGAAAATAAAAATTTATGGGGGAGATAAGAAGCAATTTCTTCCCTAGGGCATCATTTTGTTGGCCATAAGATGTCACTACTTAACAAGTGTACTCATTCCCCATTTTTGGGTCTTATCCCCCTTCCCCCTTACCCCTTCCCCTCTCCATATAAATTTATTTCTTACCCAAACAACCCCTCTACCCTCCCATCTCTCTCTATATATATATTCATATATATATTTCTTTCTTACCCAAACAGCCCCTTTACACTCCCATCTCTCTCTCCCTCCCTCCTCTCTCTCTCTCTCTCTCTATATATATATAAATCTATTTCTTACCCAAACAACCCCTCTATGTAGACTCCCATCTTTCTCTCTCTCTATCTCTCTATATATATATATATTTGTATTCATTTATTTATTTCTTACCCAAACAACAACCCCTCTACACTCCCTCTCTCTCTCTATATATATTATATATATTTATTTCTTACCCAAACAACCCCTCTATAGACCCCCCCATCTTTCTCTCTCTCCTCCCTCTCTATATATATATTTATTTATTTCTTACCCAACCAACCCCTCTACACTCCCACATCTCTCTCTTTCTCTCTCTATATATTATATATGTATTTATTTCTTACCCAAACAACCCATCTATAGACTCCTATGTTTTTCTCTCCCTCTCCCTCTCTCACTCTCTGTCTCCATAGGCTCCCATCTCACACTCTCTCTCTCCCTTTTTGCCCGCACCCCCCAATATAAATTTATTTCTGACCCAAACAACCCTACACACTCCCATATATATGTATATATATATATATATATATATATATATCTCTCTCTCTAGGTGACAAATGTAAGAAGGAATGAATCATGGGGTTGGAGAAGAAGAAAACTTTAATTTTGCTACCAGAAAAACATTCTCTCTCTTAAAAAGCTAAAGACTGTGAAGCTGCTCTCTCTTTTCTTTTAGAGAAAAACAAGTAAAAGCTGATTGGGTCTCCCCAAAAAGTTTTCCATTTTCCATTATATATTTATTGTCTCCATGGCAGTAAATGCAGTTCAAACCTTCGTTTTCCACTTCAATATCTCTCTTCACTTGAAGTCCAAAGCTTCAAAACCTTTTCTTTGAACAAACCTCCCAGCCATTGATCACTGTCTAAATTCAGATTCTTAGCAACTCTTTCTGCATTTCATTGAATAATAATTTCCGAGTTTTCTTCCATTTTCTTGAAAATATTTACCTCCTGATCTGAGAAGCGATCCATGTCTTCCGATATTAGCTAGACCTTTTAATTTCGGGCCTCGCTCTGTTCCGTTCGGTTCTCGATTGAATCTTTTAGTTTTCTGAATCTAAGAGTAACTAATCCATGACGAATCTTGCTCAAATTTCTGCTGATCCCGCTACTTCACTTCTGTGTCACTGAGTTCTGTAGTTCTCGACTGAATTTGAAAATTAGGGTTTCGTCAAGCTCTTTTTTTCGAAATATTCTTCTTCAGGGGAGGAATGGGAACGGACAATTTGTTATTGGCAACAGTCGGGCCGCCAATAAAGCCGAGAGCAGGATTACGGAGGAAACAAGCAGGGAGAGGATCATATAGAGGAAGCTAGGCGGCATTCAGAATAGAACCGAAAATTTAGGGTTGGGGGGGGGTGCTTTTTGTTGGTTAATTTGGGGAAATTTTTCTTTATGACTGACAAACAATCTGAAGTTTCAACTATGGAGGAGATGAGTACTGACTTGCAGCAGATTCTGAGAAGCCTCTGTTTGAATACTGATTGGAAGTACGCCGTCTTCTGGAAGCTCAAACATCGAGCTCGAATGTAAGAAATTCTTCCTTCACTACGCAAATCAAATCATACTTTTGCATAATTATACTAACAGTAGTATCTGAATTGGTACATTTCGTTTATTCCTATTCTGGGGTATTATACAATTTACAGGATGTTGACATGGGAGGATGCTTATTATGATCATTGTGAGCAAAATTCACATGATCCTCTTGGTTTGGCTGTTGCAAAAATGTCATATCATGTATATTCCCTGGGAGAAGGGTATGAATCTTTTCACTTTCAGATATCTTATAATGCTTAATTCTAACGTATGATCAATCAATGAAACTCAAGAATTGGTTAGTGATAATGTCATTTTTGAATATGGATTCATGTTAAATTTGATAGTTTGAATGTTTAATGTTTTTCATCTTGTGTCTACGTATTGTAATATATGTAGGGATGAGCCAAAACCAAACCAAAACTGAACCAATTAGGAAGAAGAATTGGGTTTGTCTTGTTTTTCTGAAAAAAAAATTTATTTTTCTTAAATTAATGATTATATATATTAAATTGATAATTATATATATACCTGTTTAGAATATGTATATAAATGTTTAGTTATTATTTTTAATTAATATGTTCATAATTTTTTTTTAAAAAAATAGATTTTATTAATTTATTTTTGGTTAATGATTCGGTTTTAATTTCAGTCGTTTCAGCTGATCATTACGTTTTAGTCGTTTTCTTTCTCTGATTTTTTTTTTTTTACCCGAATCAATCAAATACTCTCTACCTAAAAACAGGAGATTAATTATATTTACTCGTCTCAATTTTAGTTTGCTTTATGTTTTATTCTACAGAATTGTTGGACAAGTAGCTGTTACTGGGAAGTATAAGTGGATTTTTGCAGATAACCATGTTGGTAATTCCTGCTCATCATTTGAGGTGAGTAAGTTGAATGAAGTCATGTCCAAAATTTCCCTTGAAATTGGATGGTATTTTTGGATGATCAATACACATGTTGTTATTACATTCATAATTTAATTCTTTTTCCTCTTAAAATGCTTAAATCTCAGTTTCGTGATGGGTGGCAAAGTCAATTTTCAGCCGGGATCAAGGTGCGTCTGCATTGTTAATTCGATTGCATACTGAAATTTACGTACTTCACTGAGATATCCTTGTTGTTTCGGTATCACAGGAAAACTTTTGTAGGGTAAATTGGTTCTGATGATGGTTAGAATAGATGAACATTTAAGTTATGTCGAATTTTTAACCTATTATGAATATTTCAACCGAGATAATCTAATTTGCTATAGAATGTTCTTTTCACTCAAACATTTAATAGACTCGTTGAGATTTATTTCAACTTAGTTACTACGGTCGCAATAATATAGTAATAAATTAAATTCTCGGTGTTTACTGAATCAAATATTATAAACTGATAACTTACAATTTATAATATACGGTGGTAAATGTGACGAAATTCTATGTTATCATATTTAAACTCCAGTGACTTTCGAAGTATTAACGTATAAAAGAGCATACACAGGAAGAAAATCATAGAGGTTCAATGCACATTCATAGTTTTGTTTCATGTTCCATTTCATTCATCCATGACAGCAACAGGTCCAAAAAAAAAAGAAAAAAAACAACAAAATCATACTGAAGCGAAAGAGGAAAGGAGAACACTTTTCCCCAGGTGATGCTCTCTGCCAGTCGCCGTCACCTTTCTCTTCTTCTTTTCTTCAATTTTTGCTTCCTGATCTTTTTTTTTTTTTTTAACCTCTCTCTGTCGGCTTTTCTCTTTTCCTACCTCTGTTCTTTCGGCTCTCTATTTCTCTTTTACTTCTTCCTCTTCCTCCCTCGTCTTTTCTTCTTGATATCACCCTCTGTTTTTCTGCCTTTCCTTCTCTTTTTCCAATTTTTACTCCTTTTCCTCTCTTCTCGAACCCGTACTGCCCTTTTCTAACAGAACCAATCCACCAAATCCTTCCCAAATCACGACGTTGCTTCTCTTAATCCCCATCACTTCTCCTCTCCCTCTCTCCGCGTCTCTTCTGCTTTCTTCTTTCTTGCTTCGCAGACCCTCCTCGATTTGCGGCCCCCTCGTCGTCGGGTTGTGTTTTCTCCACGCTTCTCCTTCTCCTGCGCCGTTCACCGGCTCGTCGACGGGGGAGATCGATCTCCTGGAAACGACGTCGTTTCCCTTAAGCAGAGGCTGGGCTTGGGGATGGGCCGGATGACCTTGCTTTTTGTTCTCAGGTTTTGGGTTCTCTGGACTTGAAATGGACTGGTTCTTGGAAATTTGAATTAAAAAACTAAAAATCAGAAGTGGGTTTGTATAGAGTTAAGCCTATAGATGGGTTCAAATTTTATTTTGAAAGCTTGCTTTGGTTTTAAACTGGTGGCTTGATTCTTACACATGCATGGACTGTCACCTAAGGACAAGAAGGATGGGTTAAAATTTTTACACATGCATGTTTTTCATTTTAATTACTTCTTTTTTATAAAAAAAACGATGTAACAATAATAATAATAACAACAATAATAACAATAGCCAGTACAATAATAATTATAGTAAAAAGTTATTGTTATTTCAGGTTTGTACCCGAATTGGTTTTCGCTTGAACAAAATTATAGTATGACAATAATAAAATACATCATCTTTATATATATATATATATATATTTAAAAAAGGAAAGAGAGTTAGAATGCTCATTCTTTTAATATATTCATTAAGTATGTGTCCTTGTCCATTTATTTATTTGACCAAAATATGATAATTGATTACTTTTTCATGCTTTTTACTCGAAGCTTTTTTATCCAAGTGTATAATTGTATACCTTTCTTAATAAGCACCTAAATGCTTGAAGTTGCTTATAAGCAACTAAGATTTACCAATCTGTCATCAAAACCAAATGACTTGAAATGTAGGGAAGAGATTAAAAGTAGACCAAGGCAGAAATTTGATTTGGTAAAGAATAGAAATTGCAAAAAGGATGTAAAAGTGTGTTTGCAGATGACTGTTAAATGGTTGAAGTAGCAGAGTAGATTTTGTTTTCTAAAGTTGATGCTGCATAATGATTTTGGACATGGGATTTGGGTTTTAGATGTAAGAAAGTTTAGATGAGCTTTTTAGTGTGTGATTTTATAGTTGAAACATTTATTTGCACTTCAAACAAATGCATTGTGTTTTAATATTCATATTCTGTCCCTTTTTGGTGAAAGAAACTATTATAAGCTCTCATCTTCAAAAAAAAATAGGCTTGTTTTCTTACGTATCTTGTTAATTAATGCACTTTCTTTTTTATAGACAATTGTTGTTGTAGCTGTTGTTCCACAAGGAGTAGTACAACTTGGCTCTTTGAACAAAGTAAGGATTCCAACTGACAATTTTCATTGACGACCTTATGCATACACACTGTGGATATGACTTATATTGCATCTTTCAAGTTGTGCTTTGTGACCAACTATTTCTTTATTGGATGATCGGTGCTTCCCTTTTCTATAAGATCTTGTGGATTTGAATCAAGTTGGGCTTTTCTCTCTGTCCTTGTAGGATGTTGTGTTATGATTGACATGTATGTGTTACGTAATAAATAAAATAAATGCGTCTCTACTAAAAAAAACCTGTGCTTTACTAAAAGGACCAAAGACTTAGTTTTGAAGGTAGAAGATAACAATATATGATATATTTTTCATACTTGAGTGATGAATTCCTTACACATGCTTGGATACTCCTTTCAGTATCTTTTTATCCTAAATTCTTTGTTTCCATTACTAAAATTACATTAGTATATTTTATGGTAATTGCAGGCATTTTTTCCTTTTCTGTTTGTTGGTTCCAATATTTACTAGGAGAGAAGATTTTCTTATGAGAAACATTTACAAGCCCTAAATGTAAAATTCCTTTATGTTTATTTGAGTGGAGCAGGTCACCGAGGATGAGAAGCTGGTGACCCATGTCAGAGATGTCTTTTATGCCCTTCAGGATCCCTTAGTAGGACATGTTAAAAATTTAGTACAGCAGAGTATGAAGAGTTCAGTAAGTCTGGTACTTTCTTTCTCTTTCTCTTACATATTCCTCAAAAACCTGTTTAAGGACCTGCACACCTTTACATGATTGAGCATATAGAACTTTGAGATGTCTGACCTCTATCTTCTTTTTCTTTTCTTTTCTCTTTTTCAGTCAAATTTACCAGCAAAAACTTTAGCTTCAGAAGTTACCGATAGCTTATGGTCCAGTGCCCATCCCAAAAAAACCGTTGAAGTGGCTTGTAAGCCCGCAGGGATGGAGATATCTATGTCAGAGAGTGAAGAAGGTGCCAACTTACTTCAGCCAGGAGGAAAGGTTGTCAATATGAAGTGTGAGAATCAAGTAGAGATGAATTTCATTAGCTCTGGATTTTATGAAGGGGAGACTAGTGGTTGGAAAGATTTGACTGTTAGATCAGGACACAGTCTGAACCTTCATTCAAACAATTCTATTACGAATGACATAAGTTTATGTGATTTTGCACTTGAAGCTGAAAAATTAAAAGTTGATCGCACATGTTTCGCTTCCGCCATTCTTGATTCTGCTGTTTGTGATCCTGTTAAAATGGACGGGTCAGAGTCTTATCAAGATGGAATGCCTTCTGTGGCCAAATCTTCCAATCTGAAATTTCAGAAAGATTCAGAGGAATGCAAAAGTCTAAGTAAGTTGAGCCAGTTAGATTCTGCAAACTTAGCTTTTAAGTACTCAGCTGGCTGGGAGCTGCTTGAAGCACTAGGGCCAGCATTTCAGAAACAAAGTAACTATGTTGATTGGGAAATAGACAAGGCTGAGTCTGTAACATTCACTGAGATGACAGAGGGGATGAATAGTAGTCAGTTGACATTTGAATCTGGCTCAGAAAATCTTCTAGAAGCAGTAGTGGCTAATATTTGTCACAGTAGTAGTGATGTTAAAAGTGAGAGATCATTTTGTAAATCAATGCAGTCCTTGTTGACAACAGACGAAATGGCAGAATCTTCTGGTTATACAAAGCATACTATTGACTCGGCAGGCTGTCCAATTAACCAGTCCCACTTTATAGATGGAGATATGCAGCAACATTCATCAGAAATATGTGGTGGATTGCCATCAAGAGGGTATTCATCAACCTGTCCTAGTAGCTGCAGTGAACCATTGGATATGTCCTCAGAGCGAGCTAAGAACAGTAGAAAAAGGGCTAGACCTGGAGAAAATTCTAGGCCTAGGCCGAGGGATAGACAACTTATTCAGGATCGTATCAAGGAGCTGAGAGAGCTTGTGCCTAATGGATCAAAGGTAACAAACATCCTTGTGCTCCAACTATATTTTTGACATGATAGTTTTGCAATCTTTCTAAAGATTTTAGGAAATATTGAACAGTGCAGTATTGATTCTTTGCTAGAGCGCACAATCAAGCACATACTTTTCTTGCAAAGCATCACTAAGCATGCAGATGAGCTCAGTAAATGTTCTGAATTGAAGGTAAAGACCCAGTCTTTTCCATTGAAAATCACTGATTATAAGCTGATTTGACCCTGTCTTCCTTCCCAAGTTTTCTAGGCTTGTGAATTCCAACATTTTATGTTTAATCATTAATATACTTGAAATATAGTTACTGGTGTTCCCAGCTGACAATGTACCTTTTCTTTACTTGGAAATTTTTCATGTTAAAAGAGACAAATAACTCGGACATGATGAATTCCTCCTCTTGCTATTAGAAGTCAGCATTAAGATTGTTGAACTCTATGTTATTCCGCACGATTAACCCGCTGCTGAATCTGCAGATGCATCAGAGGGGAACAGGATCCTCTAGCTATGAACAAGGTTCAACCTGGGCAGTGGAGGTGGGAAGCCATCTTAAAGTTTGTTCAATAATTGTGGAGAATCTAAACAAAACTGGACAGATGCTTGTGCAGGTATTCTCAAATGCAAGAAATTATAATAATTTATTTCTTTTGAAGCAAATGATGGTTACAATAACAACTATTTCTTATTTGAATTGTTGGTACTCTTCTTTTTTTGTAAAAGTTTGTAGATTCAAGTCGGATTGTATGTCTCGTGTGTTCTCATTAAAAGGTTGTATTATAATTAGTGTATATTTATCATTTAATTATCGAAGTATATAATTTTTACTCCAAAAAATGATAGATAAAATACAAAAGAATGAAATCTATTATGCAGTACGAGTATAGGCCGTGATCTATACCTTTTATTTTTTCTTTAAGAAAAAAAGGAAAGAAAAAATCTCAGGAATGGATTTGTTCTGGTACATTGCAGATGTTGTGTGAGGAATGCAGTCATTTTCTTGAGATAGCTGAAGCCATTAAAAGCTTGGGCCTAACAATCTTAAAAGGTGTCACAGAAGCACACGGTGAAAAAGACATGGATATGTTTTATGGTTTGAGGTATGATTCAAATTTCTTCTGAATGAATTATCTGGTATTAACTTCCTCTCTTCTATGTTTTCTATTTGCTGAATGCCTATTCAGTTTACAGTTTTTTGTGTTCTTTTAACACGCATTTTATGGTCTTAATTTTGTTTTTCACATGTTATATGTTGTCTATCGGACAGAATAGGTTCTGAACTTAATAGATTAGTGTATTATAATGGAAAATGCGCATACTCTAATTGACTGAGATGGTTCTTAACATACCTTTGATAGAAATATTTAGCTTTGATTAAAAAGACATAGTTCTTTGTACGAGTGAAGATGGTCTGCAAGCTTATGGTCGATGTCCATAAGCCATTGCTCAAGCCCTTTACTAGGTGTTTAGATGTTTGAGGAGGGTGCAACTATTTTGTACTTGTTAGATAATGTAAAATTGATACCTTCTTTCCATATTCTCTATTGAGTATGTTGGTGGATATGTTTTATACTCAGAGTTGGCTCTAACAAGTTCTTTCCCAAAAAAAAATTCTCTCTTTGCATATGGAACTTGTCAATGAACTATATAATTTGTCCTTGAAATATTATGCTTAGAAAACCACATAAAAAATGAGAAACTACTTAACAAGCTTGATCTTAATAGCTTTTATATGGTGACACGTTGCGATGATGGTTTTTAGTGAAGGTGGTTTTAAGATGAAATTTTTTTAATAGTTAGTAAAATTTACTGTTGATATAAAATGCGATATAATGTTTGGTTAGTCATTAAGATAATAAAAAATCCAGTTTTTATAAATTTTTTCTTAAACATATTACAGCAATCATTTTTCTTTTTTCTTAACTTTTTCAATTTTCAGTTATTCAAACAAAGAATATTATACTCAAACATTGGTTTTAAATGAAATAAGCTTTCTGATCTAAATTACTAGGATCCTCTCATGGTGTCCCAGAAATTATTTAAACTTAATTGTGAATTTATAACCATTGCAGGGGCAAGACAACAAAGTAATGCATAGAATGGATATCTTATGGTCACTTATGCAAGTTTTACAAAGCAAAAGTACAAGCTAGCAACTGATAAATTCTTGGGTATTTGGATCATCTGTAATATATATTGAGAATCAGATTCTTCATATTTGATTTGGTGCTTGATTTGTGGCTTTATCTTTTCTAGAAACTCTTTTCTATTTGCCCAAAACAGACAGGGGAACAAGCCAAAAACACCCAGAAAAACCAAAGTTAAAAGAAAATTTAAGGCAAAAAAAGGCAGGCTGAAAAGAGAAATTTAAAATGTTTTTTTGCATTAAACTATTTGTTTTGGAGTTGAGATCTAAAATAATGTAGAGTGCTTGTTGTGGGTGTGATGTAATCTGCTAAGTTTGTCGGTTCTTTCCATGTTTGTTCATATGAGAGGCTTGTTTCTGTTCAAACTCAAAACTAAGAGCAGTAATGTTTGATCATCTGACTTCAACATATGGTCTACTATTCTATATGTAATCTTTATATATGACGAGGCATGATAACGATTGAATTCGAAATATAATCTTGTTTTCACTTGGTATTCTTTAAAATGTTTTTGTGAACACTTTAAATGCATTAGGATTCTTCAAAAATATTGACGACGTCTTAAAAATCTTGATCCAATTAACTCACTTCCCGACCTTCAGACTACACTTAATGGCTGTCTTTGTACAATAATAAACAACCATAGGTTAGCATTACCATTGTACAATCGAATATCCAGAAGATGATTATAACCACCTCAAGTTCGATATACTAATATGCACTAACTATCATAACAAATCTCGGTAATATCCCACGCAACGAGATGAAACAACTCAGTTCTGCAGAGCACATTCATCAATAAGCAATTATGCACCTGTTCTTACATCAGTTATGCATATCACTAAGATCAAGCATATTTTGATCATAACATTTGATCACAAGTACTCTAAGTCTTTAATTTCCAACCAGAATACATCTTTAAGGACTCGCGAACCAAATTTCCAGAAGCTTTTACCATTATGTAAATATACTTATTCGTTTAATCAAGCATCCGCATGTCCTGACTCTCACTGGATAAAATGTAGGTGAGCAATAGAATCATATCAGCATCACCAGTAAAATTGTCTTTACATGCCTTTGGTAGAAAAAAAATATTATCTCATAGAACAGTTGAAAAGAAGTATATGGCAAACACAAACAGCGTTAATCTAAGGCAACCATGAAATAATATGCAAGGTAGTCGGCACATGCAAAAGATGATCATTAACTAGTCTCATTGAGCCCTAAATCACAGTTAGTTACTGTGAATATGCCTGCAAAGCATCTCGACCTGTAATGACGACCCTATCTTCCAACCAAGACACTAAGATACCAATGAATAAACCAAACATCATAAGTTTTATTTTCAGCATTTTCCATTTGTGAAGTTGAAGCTCAAAGTTGATCTGAAACAACCTGATCCCTTTCATTTCTACTCAGAAACAATCAAGTTCAAGCCAAGAGAAGTAGAAATAATCAACTTCAAGCCAAAAGAAGCAAGACCTTGTTGCACAAGACTACACTAGCCAACAGAAATTTCCCCCGGTAATATATAGAAATAAATACGCATAGGAAAAAATAATAAAATATCATTTCCAATATCAAACTTTGTTTTGAGATGACAAAACCCAGCTATCACCACCAGTTCTAGAACAGACACCACGTAGTCCTGCTAGAGCCTAGGATCTCACCTCTTGATGGCATGTGCACACTCCTGCACTATGAAAAAACTTAAAACAAAACTGATACGTATTTAGCTTCAAGACTCGAATCAGGAAAGAATAAACAGTGGACTAAATAAACAATAACACAATTTATCCCCATAAAATAAGGGAAGGCATAAACTACATGATTCTAAGAATGTTTTGCTTTTGGGGAGATTTGGAAATGTCCTAGAATCAAATGACAATCCTGAAGGAACGCAATGTAATCACTTTCATAAACAAATCAAAAATGAATCCCAATAAACTCCCCTTTCGTGAGAGATTATGCACTTGCCCCTAGTTGGTTTTTGCTTTCTGAACCTTTTTCTTCTGTTGTCTCCTTGGAATTGAATTCTTCATTCCTATGTAGAACAGCAGCGCCCCAAAGAGAGCCATATTCTAAAACCAGAAATGCACAGTAATTTAGTTGCCCTCGAAATCATACCACTAAAATAGCCATAATAATGCACAAATGTACAATATGGAATGCATAAGGTTAAGAGCTGGAAAGATTATTACCTGTGTAAATTTGATAAAAAGTTGAGTAAATTCTTTCTGCTCATTGTCATAATTGTAGAAATCATGTAAAATTGGAGTTGTAATCAACTGATGCAGAATCTGCATGAAGGACCAGCCAGTCCACTCGTTAAACAGTATGAACAAAATGAAGTAAATATAGTTGCACTATATATTTCTTTAAAATAATATAGTTGCACTATATTAAAAAGTCCAAAACAAGAATATTAACAGAGCTCAAATACTAACCAGTAAATAAGCTCCAAAAGAGCTGCCAAATATAAAGAGGACGCCCCCAAAGCCCTTGAGAGCTATACTTGCAGCCACTAAATGTTTAATCTGTGGATAACAACATGAAAGATCCACACAACAATTTAGTAGAATGAAAAACTCTCAGATAACAGTAATTTTAATGCATAAATGTGTGTCCAAAACCCTCAGCTCTACAAGAGAATGAACAGAGAAGTCTATAAGCTATTCCCTGTTTCCAATATTTTGTCATCAGGGATCTATTGGGTAGACCAAAATAACAAGCATAAAGAAGTTTATGTGGCATACTAAGAAAGAAAGACCTTCCGGCTTTCCTTTACAATTAATTGATTTGGGCATTTCTCATTCAAAAAAATAAGATTCAGACTGTTAAAATCATTCTCCCAACAAATTACCCCCTGATACATTGAATACTACCGAATGGGCATGCTGAAACCATTTTGGATACGTTTCCAGTTATCCTGGTCTTGCTTGCCTATGATCACCATTTTTGTTTTAC